TGCATCAAGACAATATACAAACAAACAGTAGACAATGTACAAGTAAACAAATAAACGATTTGAATGTAAACAATGACTGCAGATGTGTAATAAATAAGAAATCATAATAAAATAGATGGTGTAGGTGTGGTCCAAGGGGCATGGCCAAATGTGTTTCCCAATCGCACTGCTTGTTTATAGAAGCTATTGAAGAATCTGGTGGTCAGTGTCCGTATGCTCTTGTATCTCTTCCCTGAGGGCAGTGGGGTGAAGAACTCATGCCCGAGGTGGTGACTGTCCTCTGTGATGGCCAGAATTCTACCACGGCAGGGGTCCTCATAGAGCATTCACCATTCTCTGCAGTGCCTTTCTTTCTCGAGAAGAGGTGTTGCCATACCACACGGTGATGTAACCTTATTTTTTAACTTTAATTTTGTGATTTTTATCCCCCCCACCAGTGAGCTCATAGAAAAGACATTTCATTACCAGCAATTACTGCTGCACGCTGTATTGTTGTGCATTTGAAATAAACTTTGATTGATTGTTTGATTGATTAATTGAGTGAATGAATGAAACAAGATGTCAAGTAAATTCAAGTAACAAAGATTAGCATTGATGCAAATTCCTAGATATTTAAGTATGATAAAAGAGAAAAGTTAGCCCAAAGCCATTTAACAATCTAGTCTAAGAGACTCACTTGTTGTTATCAGATTTTTTATCAGATCCTGTTAACTTATTATTAACTTATCTTAATTTGGTAGATAACTAACTGTTTTAATGCACAGGAAATGTGGCCTTAAATAAGCAAACACCAGGTGCTGCTTCCTTCATGCATGTCAGTTTGTTCTTTACACATTTGGACAGGCAGAGGTGGAGTTAAAATAATATTGAAAGTGTTGGCTTTTATTTTTTAACAGTACAATTTTGAAAAGTGTCTGCAACTTATAAAAGCTTGAAAAGGATACAACTGGAATTAAACAGCACTTTAATTTCCCTCCAAATAACAGTTTATGTAAAACTAACAGAACACTGTAACCCATGTTTTTCAAATATTTCGTAACTTATTGATAAAAATATAATTGGCCTGATTTGTCAATAATTCCACTGGACCATTTTACATTTACAATTTATAAAGCACATTTTAATAATAATGTTTACCTTCTTTAAGATTTAAATGGAAGTTGTCAGTGGAAATATATGATAACAGATGGATTACATTGAAATACTTTTATTCTCTACTATGTATCAAATATGGAATTATCTTCCTCCTTACAAACAACTAACAAAATCATACATGTAATTGTGTTCTGCATAAATTCAGATCATCACAAGATGAAAAATGATACATATCCACTGCAGCATGGAATGGAATGTCTTGTGTCACAAGAAGTTTTTGTGCAGAAACAAATCAGTTAACCCCTTTTTCACATCTTATACAGTATCTTTCTTCATTACCAAACTGGCTAGATGGGCTGAATGGCTCTTCTCATTTCTAATAATTCTTGTTATCTGAACGGCCCTCTAAATACTAGTTTCATGCTGTAAGCTTTTTTAATAAAAGCACCTGGAACATTCCATAGCAAACTATCAGAAAAGATGCTAACTGTAGAACACATACAATTTCCATGTTCCTAATCATTTGGATTAATGGAAAAATGCTAGTGGTAGGCATTCAGCCTAATATACATATATATGGATTAGGAACTGATCAATAAATAGAAATCAAAGAGTACGAATAAGGGGTGAGTGAGTGCTCAAATTATGGTGAGGGAATTTTTGGAGTAACACAGGAATTTGTATTAGGATCACTGGCCTCCTCAGTATATATTAAAATTCTAGATTCTGGTATACAGAATATGTTGTTAGCAAATTAGACAAGTCTGCAGATGATACCAAAATACAAATTTTGCAAACATATTAAAACTGTAAAAGTAAGTTTAAAAAATTGATTTAATTGTATTAGGGTGTTATTAGACCATTGACCCATCCATCCAACCTCTTCATTCAATTCAGGATCACGGGGGAGCTGAAGCCTACCTCAGCTCAAGGTGGGGTACACCAGTCCATATCAGGGCTGATGTACAATTTTCAGATTTTGTACAGGTTCATCAGGGATGATGTACAGATTCAATTTTTATATATTTTTTTACTTATAAGCATTATTTGCCCTTTTCATGTCCCCACGTTGTCTAGAGTTTCTAAATGGCATCAGCACCAATTCTTAAATTTTTCTCATGGGTAAATTCTTGGAGCATATGATTTCCCCACTTAGTATTCAGTTTGTTTTTGTTACCTGTAGATTACATTCTACGCTTGTCTACAAAAATCACCTGTCAGATTTTCAGACAGTCTGATTAGATATTATGGAAAACAGTCGAGTGTGGATTGGGCTGTGTGCACAGATATACTGAGTGTTTAAAGAAACTTCTCACTCTCACAAGTGTATGTGTTTAGAAAGGTAAAGTAAAACTGGGCATATTGATTTCTTTGTGTGTATTTTCTTGATTCTTATCAGGCTTGACATTCAAGAGGCCAAATCACCTCTTCATCTGTGCCCAATCAACACTCTCTATAATGACAGGCTTAGATCTTATGCAACACTCCAAACCATGAGTATACCACAGTCAGTCAAGGATGATCAATTAATCAAAATGACAGCAAAACATTTAATCAATATTTAAAATCCATACATTTTTCTTTTCTTCCAATACTGGGTCACAGAAAAGCAGTAGCCTATCCTGGCAAGCTATGGGTGCAAGACAGGGTCTTGGCCAGGATCCAGTCCAGCTCAGACAGACACACACAAACACACACACAGCAGGGTCAATTTCCCAGTACGTATTTGGATTGTGAAAAGAAACTAAAGCACCTGGAGAAAACCCACGTGAACAGACAACAACCCGAGCCTGAAACTGAACTCAGCGCAGCGAGGCAGTGATACTAATTATTGTGCCACCATGCTGCCCTCTTGTCGTTTTTAGTTTTCAAAAACGTACATGTTACAAACTTACAGCGACGTTTCTTCTGAAGCCACTGTGCTTTGCAAAAGTATTCAGACCTTTCGGTAGTGTCTGGTGTCCCATTTTGTGAATCGTTAAAGGATGTATACACATTTTTTAAACTTTTTGTTTTATTCAAAACATGAATGCTCAAACCGACAACTTCTAAGGGTAAAATAAGTAAATACAGTAAGTTTCAGCACAAAATAAAGATAAAAAAATAAATATATTGACTATTTAAGTATTCAGACCAGCTCAATATTTACTGGAAGCACCTCTGTCAGCAATTACAGCCACAAGTGTACATGGTATATGGTTTGGAAAAACAATTATCCATTAACTTCAGTTTTATGTGTCACATTATGACAGTTTACAAATTCAGATCAAAGTAAGGGGATTTCCGTGCTGTTTCTGTGAACTCAACTCACAGAGAGGACTGTGCTAAATCCTTAATGTCACTATTTACAAGAAAGGAATTAGAGACAACAAAAAAGACAGAAATAAAGTGAGTCTGTCATTTGTTAATGTTTTAGTACGTGGTTGGTACTAAACAAGACTTGTCCTTTTACTCACATGGAAAGATACATTTTTTCACTTGCTGAGGAATACACAGTACTGTACCTCAACTTTCTTTTTCTTCATCCAACACCTGATGGGCTGCTCAAAGCGAAAACGTCTTGCTTGAAGTGTGAGGTGACAACAGCAAGAGGAAAACGCAAAAAAATTAATGAAAAAAGAATTTTGAATTTGTTCTTTTTTTAAAGCAGTGCTTTTCAACTACAACACATAGCTGGAAGGAGTATAGGAACCTAAACTTCATTGGACAGGTGGGAAATGTCTGATTCTTATTTTTACATCAATAGTGTAGGTTAGTGAGGCTAGTTTTGTAAGTAGACTTTTTTAATATGGAGACAAAATACTGACTCATTTTTTAATTGGAAATGGCTACTAACAGAAATCAATATTTGATGTTTTCATGATCACCAAGTAACCTATCAATGCGACAGGCAGTTTTTGTTCAAACACCGGTTAAAGGCAGTTGCTATTCATACATTCAGCAGGGGAACAAATAGCACTATCCATTTTAAACCACTTAACGTTAATGAGCTTTATGATCTTGTGTGCACTGCACTAATGATGCAGGAAACATTTATTTTTAAAATATTACCTCAATATTTGTCTTGAAAATGTATTGAAAATACTGTAATAAGACAAAACAAATGCCAATGCCTTTTAAGTTATAAGAGCACACTAAAGCTTGAAATGTTTACCAAACTGTTGGACTATAGGAGTCTTGTTAACTTGAGCAGGTAAAAAAAAAATACACTCATCTTGTGCAAGCTGTTCACCAGCATCAGATCAAATTAGAAACTAGGATTCCTCTCTGCACCTGTGAACATGTTTTATAACATGTTGCATTAGAGCATGAACATCCTACTGGAACTCATCATTTCTAAGAGTGCAGAAGTTAGAAAACTCAGTAATATGAATGGGACAAGGCTTTGACTTTGATTGTGCCAGTATTAAAAAAACAAGAATATCACGTTTAGAGTAAAGTATCAGGAGTATAATTATTAATTATTAGATTGACCCAGCCAGCATGACAAAGCTAAATGGTAACAGTGAGAAATTCTTACAGAGGCAACTGGTTAGCCATTGCTGACTTAAAATCACACATTAAGATGTATTGGAATTACATATTTCAATGAGAATCACGCATTAAGATTTATTACTATTACATATTTTTACGTAGTAAGGTGTTAAATACGGGAGAGGAGAGAACCTGCTGCTTTCATAAGAAAGATGGTGATAAAGTGTTTTTAAATGGGTTGGACAAGATCCATGAGCGAATATGAAATCAATCCTTTTGTAAAAGGCTGTTTTACCATCTTATACTGACTTGTTACTTCAAATGCTAAATATGACTATGCAAGGATTTGATTATTTTGTATTAATAATAATACTACTATTATGAATATAATCACACTGATATCAATTCACATTAAATAAGATGGACGAAGAAAACAGGGATTATGCTATTTTTTTTATTTTTCACCAAATGCCAGGCAACAACTTTTAGGGCTCCTCTGCCCAGAACAACATCAGCACCCTGAACTCAAAAGCAGTGTTTCTGGTCCCTTTCCACTCCATGGGAACCCAAACGAAGGACAAGTTGCAGTCTCCATCTCCTAGTCATGTAGATGAAGTGTATTCGTGCATGTCTCGCAGGCAGCAATCAAATCACATGCAGGCTGTCATGGAGAGGCAGCACTAAGAGAGAGAGAAAAAGAATTTGAATACTGTGATCCCATCACATTTTAGCTAAAATAATGTCGCTTATTTCCACTTGTGTCATTCTGGATTATGGTGTCTTGTCTGTGGAGTTCACGTGTGCTCCAGTTTCCTCCCGCTTTTCAAAGACGGGGTTAACTGAAGTCTCGAAACTGTTCCTGCGTGCGTCAGCTGTTCTTTGCGACGGGCTGACATGCTGTCCAGGGTGTAGACCTGCCTTTCCACCCCTTGCCTGTTAGGTTAGACTCTAGCTCGTATCGACACTCGAGGGTGAGGCGGGTGTGGACAAGAGGAGGATAATATATATTATAGTTCAGGTGGGTAGCTGCGTCAGCATGCGTAGGCTACAAAGGAACAAGTAATAGGTTTATTATTTATAATAAACCTATTACTTGTTCCTTTGTAATATATATTATATTGACTACAGGCACCGTTTACCAAGGCATCCCTGTAACTACCTCAAGCTCAGACGACTCCCTGTTTCAAGGCGTGTGGTTGTTCCACTTACATCGCCACCTTCGGGGACCCCTGACAACCGTATTTTAAACTTTTCCAGTGGGGCTTTGCCATTAGCTGCTCAGATGAAAATGAGAACCCCGCCCATCCATCTGAGCCCGACGGCCAGCCTACCTTCGCTCGCCGGGACGGTGCCCGTCTCCTGTTCCTGCTTCTCCACGCTCAGCCCCGCACGCACACATTGTAGCACCTGACGATGACATCAGAACCGCCGGCCGCAATCGCGCATTTCGCCAGACCACCGGCTGCCAATGACGCGCCTCTCCCCGCCCCCCCGCCTGCCTCTGACGGGAGGACTGCATTAGACACGCCTCCATTAATTTGTTCATCATTTCTTCCCCAGCAGCGGTGCTTGGTTGAGTTCCCGGTACGGAGCGCAGCAACGACAATTTAGGGGGCCGCGGCGCAAGTCAAGGGGAAGATGGAGCACACGGGCACGGACTTCAATATATTGCTCGCCACCGATTCATATAAGGTGAGGGCAGGCTAAGGTTTGGATCTTGCATTTCCCCAGACAGTGCATTGAAAGGGGAGTGGGGAGAAAGCAAGGTGGTGTGTGTTCCCAAGGCCATCACGCATGTCTTGGCTGCTCTGTGTGCCAGTTTTGGTAGGCCAAGTGCTGGTTAGGACAGCAGGTATCGGGCACCCCTTTAAGGGGGTGTAGCGGCTGAGGTATTTGGTCATCGGGTGGCAGGATGAAGAGATTTCCCGGTGCTCAGCGATCACCAAGATCTTGTGTGCCTGACACGTTTTTTATTGCTCTCGCAAATCGGGGGGGTCGTAGTATAATTATAATAATAATCGGAAAGGGGGTGGGGGAATGTTAGAATGTGGCAGGTCAAAGGAGTGACCCCGTACAAAGAGACGATGGCGAAGTGTTATCTCTGCGATTTCTCTTGGGCTGTTGAATCGCTGCGGCGCTGGTTGTGCCTTCTTTTCAGGAGAAACAAAACTGAAAGTAAAGTACGCTTGACGAACCGAGGTCTGTTTTAAGATCGCTGTCTCAATGAGGTTAAACAATTCCAAGACGAATTAGTGGAGAAAAAGCAAATATATTATGGTGGA